TTAGTATTCTTAAATAGTAACTGATAGGCCTAAAGGGTTTGATAAAGATCAAAACACACTTTATAAATATTACAGGCGTAGCTAGTATTTAATTCAGAAAAACGATTTACAGCAGTTTTTTGGAGTTGTTCATTAAATATAAAAAAATTAACATTATGTTAACGAATACTTAGAGAGAGTTAAACCACTCTAAATACATTGTCAATAAATATATTATTTTATAAATTGCATTTTTAAGTAGTAGGTACATAGTTACATAAATATAAAATATAACTCAGACATAGCCAATATAATATTGTTTATAACAATTTAAAAAAAACCTAACAATATTAACATAAAAGTATTCAAAAAGTTTATAGCTTTATAATTTTTGAAAAAAATATTAGCTTTATTCTGGGTTTTTCTAAAATTTTCTGCGAGAATGATTTGATGGAAATGATTTTAATAATATCATCGTAATTCATAATTGTTTTGGTTATAGATCACTCTATACTTAATAAGGCTAAACTATTTAATCTTTCTGATGACATAGTTGATGCTATTTAGCGTTCAAGTGTCAAAAGTCGATAGACCTTAGGATAATCCCAAAAAAAGTCAAACATCTAGTAATTTCATAATGTTGTAAAATAACATAAATGACATTTATAGAGTGTTAAATTGATCACCCTGTACATCTTAAAATGCCGTTACACCGTTTAGCTGCTACGAAAAGTGATCGATTCCGCCTGTAAGCGTAAAGCGGGTTTTTGGTGACCCAAAAAAACATGTTGTAAGACTTATGTGCACATTATGCCTTAGCTGTGCTCGTCTCTAAAAAACCGACACGGGGCGCTGAATACGAAGTATTAGGTGAACGCTACATACAGTTAGAAAAAAATATTATGACACAGACGATTTTGGCTCGGTGGTAAACATACAAAAGAACAACAGCTCATCGCAAAACAAATGCTTTGCCTACGTTAGTTTGGTTCAAAATACAGTATTGCTATTTACTTGGCGCCGATGAAAAAAGCCAGAATAAAACAAGTCATTTTATAGGTAAAACACACTCGAGGGACATGATAAAATAACAGTATGATGAAAATATTTTCATTACCTGTGGATTCACTCGCACATAGCAACCTAGAAACTGACTACGGCCAAAGTGTACATTTACCCTATTTTTGGGGGTTTTCCTTAATAAAATAAAAAATTGGACAACAGTTTTTTGAGAAAATTGTATATGTTACAGTTCCATTTTAGATCAACCTTCGGTCTGATTTTTAGATCTAAGTCTGAAAAATTTGCTTGAAAAAGTAAAATAAAGAAAAAAATTCTATCCTTTCTAGGGGAAAGGGTTAATGATATTTTTTTGGTTTGTTAATGTTTATCGATAGTACTATGTTTGAATTCATTTAAATTTGGAACTTTTTCCACTATTCTTAAAAAAGTTACACAGTTTCTTATTTTTAAGTTAAAAAATTTGTACATTTTTTCGGTGTTTTTCTCGATTTTGATGGGGAAGGTATGAATTTTTTTTAATTTTTGGCCAGATAAAGTACCTTTCAGGTATGATTTCTGATCTATAGAGTTGCTTAACGAAGAAATCAGTTCAGCGGTTTACAAGATATCGTGGGTTCAGACACAAAAAAAAAAAAAACGAAAAAAAAAAAAACACATCATTGTAAAAACAACACCGAAGCTAAAGTACAAATCGTATGATTACATTCACAGATAAGTTTGTGGATAATAATAAGTATTATTTGCGTGTATAAATTATACAGTATAGCTACAAAAACATATCTAAAGTTTGTTCAAAATCCTATGATCAATTCACCTGTAGCAGTTTTCAAATACTATCCATACCAAAATATCCCTTCTACCTCAATTCGTTAATATACCAACAGGTATCCTATCATCATACACCTGCACTTGCCTGTTTTTTGTACGTTATTTTTACCTGGAGGTGTATGCATTGTGAGGGTCATCTGATGGCATGTAATAAATATGTATGGTATTTTATGGCATCTTTTGTCAGCCATACTCGTATACGTCGACGCCATTAGAGGGTGCGCTTTTTCCCCTTATCATATTATGTTAAGTCAAAACTTATGCATGAGAATCGAATTATTTTGTTCGCTGCGCTATATGATATTGTTTAAACCTAAGCATTTGCTTTATTTTCGGTTATAACATATTTTTACATTACAGCCTCTTAGACATGGAAAAGGAAAGTATGTTCTTCATACATATACGATTTTTTTATTAATTTACTTGCTAAATTAACGGATTGACAAACAAAATTTTACACATATATAAGGGTTATAGTGTACAATATATTTTTGGAATAAAGGTAATTTTGTTTTTATCTTTCGTGCCTTGTTGGGCAACATTTTATTGATCAATTAAGTATCTCTTTAAATAAATTTAAAAAAATATGTTCGCGTCTTTCTGCCATTTTGTTTTATGTTATTCCAAAAGCAACAAATAAAAATGTTGATGATCAAATATCATAAAATGGTAAATATCTAGTTACAGTGCGAAATCTGTCTTAAAGTATTTTCTAACTACTTAAAGTTTGGGAGGAAGTATTGTCTAAACAGTTCCCTCCCAAGTTATGAAATACTTGGTTAAAAAAAAAAATAAAACTTCTTAAAGTTGACAACAATGTATACTAGACATTTTTTGGTTTTTATTCTTAAAAATTATTTAAATACATGATTATACATAATACGTGATCATCAAACTCATATCTAGATATATTTGTATTCGTTTACTACTATAGTTAATTTGATTAGTCTATGAGATATTATCATATAAGATAATATATCATTGAAATTACTAGAAACCGTTGTGCTGTTGTGATCTTTTACACATGTCCCTAACTATCCAATATTTATCAAATTATTAAGAATGGATATAATATGATTTAATATTGTACATATACAGTCAAAATTCGTATCGCTCGTTGTTCTACTTTGATACAAAAACAACTTCAAATTGAATTACAAAATTAAAAAGTAACCGTTATATTCAAGATACACTGATTAGGCTTAGGTATTTTTTTTCTACTCATGTTATACGGTGTTTGTTAGACATATCTTTAGACTAATTTTCAGTTCTTATATATATTTAAATTGCGTCAAATAAATTTTAAAAACGTTCAGCCTTTCTGCCGGGGGGATGTGGGTTGTCGAAATTTCGGGGTTTTCCATGTGCAATATTTTTTTTTGATAAGACTTTTAATATTGAAAATGCTAAGATTATAATAAATCGAATATATTTCGAAAAACATACAATTTCGGCATTTGTGCACACATAAGAATGTTTTAGTACATTTTTTTTGCCACCGAAAAATATTCAAAAAAAATTTAAGCAGAAAAATACGTCGATCTAACGACAAAAACAATACATAAAACTGTCAATGTTCGAAATTCTTAAAATTTTTTTTTTTGTGCATACCTTAGTGTTACTTTTTACATTGAAAATTCGAAGGTCATAGCAAATCGTCTAAACTTGAAAATTTTATCGAACCAAACAATATACTATTCTCATACGATTTGCACATATAGTTATTATTTTTCAAACCTAACCAGCTTTTAATAGTCCGCAAAACAAATGATAACATAACCTTAAGCATGACTATCGTACTTGAGCACTCAAAACTTACTGGGACCACTCTAAATGGTATCCGCAGAAATACTGGCATGATTTGATCATTTTTTTTTTAAGATTTTATATCTGCAAAAAACACAGTTTTCCGGCAATTAGGAATTAGTCCATTATTAAAAAAAACCTACATCTTAATGCAAATATAATTCGGATACCAGTTGTTGACAGCTATCGAATAGAAAGCTGTAGCCAGTCTAGTATATGAATTTTCAAATTATGTGTTGAAAATTGTATAAAATCACATAACATATGTATTAAGATTCATCTTTTAACATGAAAAACTCAATAAAAACATTAAATTTGCCATTTTAGTATAAAAAATAGCAAGCAGTGTTGGGACAAGATAATAACTTAAAAGTTATCTAGATAACCAAATAGACGTAAAATAATGACAATATTTTAATTTAGATAAATCTCAACACTGTTTGCAAGTCCACTAAATGTGTTCAAAATCATATTAAAAAAACAATATACTTAATATTTAATTTGCAAGTTGTGTTATAGAATTTGCAAGTCAACCAAATTGCAAATTAATTAGTTTAGAACTTGCTAATTTATTAAATAACACTATTTGCTAAATAAATAGTTAGCCAAATTAATTAAGTTAGTAAACCAAATTAGGCAAAAGTTTTTTTATAACCATATTTTGGTGCAATTATTTTTTTATTATAATCATTATTGTAGGATAACTATCAGTTGTTCTCCGGTTTAAGCTTAGTAAAAATTGTATAGAAAAACATTATATAAGAGACCTTGAATTTATGTGCATAACCACAATACATTTTCATTGATTTTAGTGTCTTTTTTTTTAGTTTCGTAGCAATGTGAATATTAAAACATTAGTTAAAGCTCACAAAAAACACTTCTTTAAATCAATACACATCCACAGAAACAAATTTACTAATTTGGAATTTACCACACAATAATGCGTTGGAAAAAAAAAAATGAAATCGGCAATCTTCTTGATTTAAAATATTATGTAGGATAAGTTTTCGTACACTGCATTGTTCTTATTTCAATAAAAATTTTAAGTCAATTCAATACCATTGTGGTTGACCAGTCAGGTTATTTGTTCCATAACTGGCTATTCGTATATAATATATACTGGACTGTTTTATTTAGTCACTCATCATTAGAACTCCGTATTGGTTTGTTACCTCTAACATCAAATCTCCATACAATAACCATTAAGAAGCATTAACTATTAGAAATATTAACTATAAACTTGTCACCCAAATTTGCACAATCATTTAATAAAGGTAAAAATATAAGGAAAGGATTTAGAAGCAGTAATAAATAGTTGAAATAGATTAGATGAAAAAATACAACTTTACTTATTCGGTAATAATTTATTTTTTCGGTAGACATGACATGATACAGAAATTGGCTTTTAGCATTACGTACTTACTGTACAAAAAATGTATTATGTGAAATATGTTATAGAAAAAATCCTAAGACAGTTGTTTTCCCGTCAGCTTAAATATATGTATAATATTTTTAAATTTCTGATTTTATAGTGATTATAGTGATAATAATAAGATAAACTATAATATATTATGTAAAGAACAGAATACGGATGCCAGTGTTTTTCTGACATTAGGTTAGTATGTGGGTTGAACTCGTGGATATCCATATTGTAATTGTGCCTCGAGTGATTCTCCTCGTTGTTCACCTGAGTGTATTTCAAACCACGTGCCTTCGATTTTCCTGTATCTCTTTTGGATATTTCTTGTATCCGTTGTGATACATGTACGGCTTCTTGAGTCAATATCAACTTGTTTTATGTATGATTCAGGAGATTGGGTACTAAAATATATTCCAAGCAATAGACACTTCGCTATTAAAGACTCAGTATCATCTACCCGCACAGATTCACCTAAAAAGTAAATTTTTTTTTTAATTTGCTTTTACTAGTTTACTATAAAAAAAAACTAGTAAAACTAGTTTTTTTTATACTTTTGTTTGCGGTGTAGGATACAATTGTTAAAAATTAAATTTAGTTGTATCCAATTGTCCACATTAAATATCATAAAACATATATATATATATATTAATAGCGATAAATACCATACAACTCCATAATAATATTTACCTAACATACGACGTCCGATTATACTTTTTAAAGACCAAGCAACTAATTTTCTTGTATCGTTTGCAAGTTGTTTCAGTGAATATTCATCTATGACAATAATTATAAAAGACTGTGTTGCAAAGAAATAATTAAGATAAATAGTATATTATTCGCTAATTGTGATACAACTAACTTTTTGTACAACCACTTATTATTGTTGAACCTCAGCAAATGTACTCTTTCTATACTTCAAATCCCAAAGAATTTATTACCTGCACATTAACACTGTAGTCCCACTTTCTCTCCCCCTTCTCAACAAAAAGTTGAATTTAATACAATTTTTTTCTGCCATATAAAATAAAATAAATTAAATTAAGCAAAGATCAACTCTAAAACAAGCTTTTAAGGCTATTTATGAATATCAAACAAATCGTAATTACATGGATAACTACATCCTTCCATATCAACTCCTGTAACATACACATCAAACATATTTTGCAGTTAATAAGTCCCGGTTTATATATTTTATACATAGTATTCACTTTATAACTTAGGTTAATTAGATCAATATTAATTAATGCAAACAATTATTGTATAAATGTAAATTGATATCTTATAATAACTTTTAAATAAACGGTTTAAATTTTATTTCGAAAGACTAACATATATAGCTTTATGGCTTCATTTTTTCTTTTAGTTTTAATGAAACACTACAAGAATATGCAACTATTTTTTTTTTAAATAAAAAAAATCATTCTTTTTTATGTTTACCTGCTATAGTATTTAAGTCTTGAAGCATTTTGTTAAAGTATAGATTGGCTTCTAAAATTTAAAACAAAATACATTTTAATGTACCCACTTAAATTGTATTATTGAAACCGATATATCATATTGGTATTTGTGAATAGGTACAAATGATTTTTCTAAAAGTAAATATATATATAAATTATAAAAAGGGTTTTTACTGTCATAAAGATCTGGATGTTCTGAAATTAATACAAACATCTTGTGTGCATAAATGATATCAAACATCTGTTTGGAAATGCTTCCATAAAGTGCAATGGAAATTATTACCTGGCATAAAGAGAATTTCATCATGGTCTGAAATCAATAACACAAAAATTAATGTTATTGCATTTAATTTTCTATTCTATTATAAACAGGAAGACGAATTTCAAGGAAGAAAAAACATGTGTGCAATAATTTAGAAGAAGTATGCTCCACTTTATATTTAATACGATGAGAATCTCTTTGGAGAAATCAATATTGGAATTAATTTTATAAAATTTAACAAAATCTATTACCCGGTACAGCCAACAACAAACAAATTTTACCTGAAATTAACATTAAATAGATAAATGATATTGAATTGAATTTGCTATAGTAAATTTTTAGTTATTACATTATATATTTATAAATTATAAGACGAAAGTCAAAGTAGAAAAAACTATATTATATAGACTAGTTGATGCAGTTCAGGCGATGAGAATAAAATATATTAATCAGACGAGGTTGATAGGCTAACATCAGTATTTTTTCATAAAACTTCTATTCAAATTTCGGTGAAAAATATAATAATTATAAAACTCATCAGTTGCATAAAGTGAAGTTTTTATATAATTTTCAAATATTTTTTCCTACTTATGTCTTGATATTTTTTATCATTATTATAACTATGATTACGGAAATCTTGGTGTATAAGTTCGGTATTGATTTCCTCAACCATTGTCTCAATTAGATGCTCCAATCTATCTAAAATAAGCAAATGAAGATTTTTGCTATACTAAAATATTGAAACTAAATCAAATTAGGTAAGACAAAGCTTCTATATATATATTAGTATATTATTTGGAGTTTAATATCTTACTTGCTCCAGATCTACCTCGTACTCTTAAATCATTCTTAAGATAAGCATGCCTGATGCCCATATCTGTGATACATAATTAAAAAAATATGTATACAAACAGTGAATTTTAAAAACTTACAAATCATTTTTTTTTAAATTGAAAATGTTACTGACTTGTGAGGTGAACTAATTTCACATAACGATCTGTAAAAAAGTGTAATATTTTTTTTTTTTAATTTTAACTACCTTAATTTGATAACTGTGAAAATAAAATAACTACCACTAATGAATTGCCAAACCTTCCACGAAGAATAAAGAGAATAATAAACAGAAGAGTTTCATTTTTATCTGCGAATAATATTAAATAAAAACATTTTATATAAGTCACAGTTACCTCTGGTTAAGAGATAAGAAAGTTATAGTTCTGCAGGGCCATTTTAATGTTTTAAATATATACATACGAGTATATACGTATAAACATTTTTCTACTTGACCTATAATATTACACACTAACTGATTTTTTGTATATAAGATAGAAGTCAAACTCGAAATGCTGATTATTTAGCCAAAATTACAGTAAGTTTACTATACCGAGGATTCTCAAAAATGAAAGTAAGCCTGTTGACTATTTAAATAGCATAGTACAAAACTTAGGTTACACTACTCAAAATGGAAATTAGGTAAAAGTATTTAGCTAAATGTTGTTATTTAAGTTAGAGTTTGTATCCACTTAATTTCCAAGCGTCTAAACTTGACTACGCATAATGGTTCTTGTTCAACCCATGAGGATTTAAAGCGAAACTATTAGAGAGTTAATAGTGGAAAGAAGATAAGTTTTAGAAAATATCAAATCCGTTTTAAAAAAATATCTTTAGAAGTATAGTTCTTACCGTTATAAAAAAAACCAGTACAGTGGGGTCAGGGCATAGTGTGGACGGGGGAGGTCACAGGTTTACAGGAATTTTTAAATCTGAAAGTGATAAAATCACATTCCAAAAAACGCTTCGATGCAAATAGGTAGTTAGTATTTTCGAGTATTAAATTGAGGTGCTGTATTTACAAAAAGCATCAAAGCGATAATTTGAAAGTGATTTTGTCCGAGAGAACTAGTACAGTAGAGTTTAGGCATATTGGAATCAAAGCATCGAGCGGACGGAGATTACTTATTAGCTAAATATAACTAACGTTTATAGCTACTAGCGGTCAGCTGTTGTCTGTTACATTTACATATTTAACAATAACCTTTTATTGAGATTTAAAAAATTGTGTTTTTTTAATAACAGTATAGGAGCATTATCACAAAGTTAAATGTTCACGAGATTTGATCTAGTCATAAAATAAAGTATTATCATTCATGACTTTTAATTGTTATTAAAAATATATCTTAGTTTGAACATATTAATAAAATAATGAAATATTTTATACAAAATCAGAGCTACAAGTTGATAAACTGAAAAATTAAAATTAGCACGATGCAGATTATCTAGTATTAGATAATTTCAACAATCAAGCGTGAAACTCTTTAAATGAATAACAGTACAACAATATGCAAAATATTAGTGTTCCTTTAAACAAATTGTGTAACATAAAATATATTTTGGGGCGGTATACTGCATAAAAACCAACACTTAATCTGGATCTAAAAAACAACAGTCCTCTTCATTATTTGCAGGTAGTTGGACCTTATATATTCATAGTTGACCTTCGGTACGGTAATATAACGCGGACGATAAAATAACGAGATAACGACAGTGGTTGTGTCGTGTCGAACCATTAAGAGTCTTAATAAGAACAGGGATAGGTTTTTAAAATCGTCCAAATTAACAACTTAAAAACATGCAAAAAAAAATTTTCTCATAATTTTAACTTAATTTTTAAAGGGAATATTAAAGTTTTTTTTTTAACATTGCCATTTTCTTCACTTACGACTAATTTTTTTTAACGATGAACAAAAAAACGAAACACTGTGGATGGTGAAAACTTATTTTTTGTAAAATATTTATATTAGATTTATAATGTGTATACAATTATCATACAAACAATAAATTATAAATGCATTTTCGTAAGTCAAATAAGAAAAAAAATGTTTCTTACATTTTAGCATTCAAACTATTTTCAGCATTAAAAATCGGCATTTATTTTCTAGACCGCAGCTACGCTCTTATAAAAATAGAAATCATTATTTGCAAATTTCTGTAATCCGATTTTTATGTTTTTTTGTGGTTTTGTAATCAATTTTTTTTTCATTTGGAACATGACTACCTAATATTTTTCTTAAAAATTAATTAAAAGAATAAAAAATTGTTTTTAATTTTGAAATTTGATTTTTAACGATTAAAAAAAATTTTAAATAAAATTGTACACGTATATGAATTTAGTTCCCTACACAGTTATTTTTGTTTATCGTTGTACTGTTCAAACTTTTTGAGTTATGATTGAAAATCTAAATGATTTTGATGAATGTTTTTTCTTTGAGTTTTACGGATGAAACATTTTTTTTAAATTTCTATTAATCCTGGTTGTGCATGTATAAGAGATCTACTTTTGTGAGGTATTATGAAAACGATTTAAAAAACAGCCCATTTTCAATACACATCCGTAAGTACACATCAAGCCAAATAATGAAAAAAAACCAAAAACATTTATAGAATTGTCTCCAAAACGTGGATTGTGTAAAACGATGATCAACAATGGATAATAAAATAACTAGAAAAAAAATTTTTTATCATAAAGTCAGAGTCTTAAATAAAATATTTTGGTCAAATAACGGGAGTGGTCCGAGATTAATTTCTATTTTTTTTAATAATGAAAATTTTCCCGGGTGGTCACCTATTCTGAATCAAGCAGTAACGGACTCAGCTTAACCTCGGATGCCGCGTGGCACAACGCGTCTACACAATGCCCCAGTATTATTTTTAATGTTATTCGTAGGAACATTTTTAATTTTTACACCCAACATATTCAAAACATTTTTCCAAAACATGTTTTGTTTTTTTTTTTATTAAGAAAACTGAAATTAAAATTTTCTTTTCAGATTAAAAAAAAAAAATAGTAATAAATCTTGGCCCACTCCCGTTATTAGACGAAGAGATTTGATTTAAGTTTCTGATTTTCTGATAAAAATTTCAGAAATATAAAACTGGCCGAAATCTTTTTTTTTTGGAAATAACTTAAAAAAACCTCTACTTTTGGGGCAAAAATTAGGGGTAAAAATTTCAATAAAATAAAAGTCTTTTTAAGGCCAAAAGTAGTTTGAGGTGTTCTGGCCGATGACTGTGTGGTTTGACTCAGAAAGCCCCATAGTTAAACATTTTAGAGTTTTATAGAAATACTTACTTAAATTGTGGACTTGGTAAGAGGTTCTTGGACATTAAACGACTTGTTCAGCTATTGAAACGAAATGTACTGCTTGCGCATTATGGCTGGGCTTAAACTTCAACCAGAAAATCAGAATTCTAATAGGCTTTTGTTGTGTAACTATGTTCATTTATGTACACAACAGGTTCAATTTTTTTTTTTTGTGATTTATCGTGTACATACCTTACTCGGAAAGCGGCGTTTAGACTATTTTATTCTACACACTACTTTTAAATAAAAAAATATATTATCGTCGGAATAGTATTTTTTTTTTAAATTTTACTATGGTTTCACAAAAACTTTTTCAACGGTTACAAATATTGAAATTTAAAACAACCCTAACGGTATTGAAATACTAAAAATCGAATAACGTAAATTATATTATGATGTATTATAATTAATTAGAATTGGCTAATCATTTTTCTGCAATAATTTAAAACAAAGTGCCTTATGCTTATTATGTTTAATCTAGAACAAAGGCTAGACCTTTGAGTTGTTAAACGATTTCGAATTAATGGATTTGACAACATCATATTTGTCTACAAATTGTGAATAACAACAATATGTCCATATTCTACGAGCCCTGACCCCACATTGCTTTTTTATTTTTTAATTTAAAATTGTTCAGACCTGAACGTCAAAATAGTTCAAGAAGTAGCCATAAGTTTGCATTATAATGTGCATGGGTGCATTTTTAGTTAAAACGTGTGTACAATAAGTAAACGAATGCAAACGTTTTTCAGCCGAGTCTGCAACCACGAAAGAGCATTTTCATGTCTTTTTGAAGTACCGAAAAAATGTAGAGTAGTGGTGGAATTATAGATAATGATATAGTATATTAAGAAGCAGTAACAAGCTAGGATATTAAAACATCAAGTTTCTGGCTAATATTGACATGTTTAATATCTGGCTTTAAACAATTCATAAATAATTTGGGCCCTTAAACTATTTTGAATTTATCATTTAGTTCTAATTTGAAAGTTGAACGTACAACATATCTCTTATCTCCTATATCTTATCCTTATCCCCTACACACTATCTCTTACCCTTATCTCCTACTCCCTATCTCCCACCCCATCCCCATTATATGATCTTGAAATATTCAAAATGTAGATACTACTTATCAATTTTACTTCATCTGTTATTTTGCTTTTGAAGAAAATGTAATATTATATTGAACACAATTATATTACTTTCACATAGATTGTGATAAACAATTGTATTCCTAAGATTCGTAGACATAAGATATCATACCCTTTTTGGTTTAGTAAAGAACTAAAAATTGCAATTAAAGAAAAACAAAATGCTCACCATATTATGTTCAAATCTTTAAAAATACCCAAATCGTATTAAAATTTTGCTAATATACGTGACAAATGTAAAACTACAAGATTTCGAGATTATAAATTATCTATATATAATATATATAAAAATGAATGTATGTGTGTGTGTCCTTTATCCATTCATCTGGTCACCATGAAACTTAGGGAAGTTGTTGAATACACTCATGCAGAGGTAACTGGCGTAGTTCTTTTCGAAAATTCCACCCCTAAGGGTGGCCTCAAATACGAATTTTCTACTTTAAATACAAAATATTTTTTGTTGCTTACCCAAAATAAACACTTGGTTTGTAACCACGGTACTCCAGCGAATGGTAGGTGATAAAAGGAACAGGCCGATTCTATGTACCACGATTCTGGGGACACTTTTCACGGTTGGAACGGGATCCGGGACTAGGACTGGAACCTTTGAGTAACAGGGGGACATAATCTATGTAATGTAATGTACATATCATGTAGATCCAAAAAAAAGCCGAGACGGGGTATACTAAAGCTTTAAAATATACAATCTGGAGTACTGACTTTTTTTTATCTTTCTTACTATTATTTTACTCAGCCCTGACAAACTAAATCCCAGGCAACGCCGAGTGAGGACAGCTTGTTTATTAATAAAACTCAATGCTCAGTCAAAATCAACCATAATACGTTTTGGAACTTCTATAATTTGCAAAATTCAACTAAATGTGCCACGCCCGTGTTATCTATTCACCACTTGTTCCGTTTGTGCATTATAAGCAAGCTTTTTTTTTTCTCTATGGTTATACATAATATTATTATGATTGTTCTTAAGTACTCGGTTGCCTTTTCATAAAATTGATTGTGTTAAAAAAATTAAATTCTCACATCATCATCTACTAATTTAGAAAATAATAGGCAACCATCTTTGGACGTTAAATATGAAGTTTGAAATCAAAATAATACATACTATCTCAATCATGGAAAAGAATCGGCAGTGAACTGCCGCAGCGGGCGTTATCATGTCAAAACAATATCATATATTCTTAAATTACTGTAGTATTATTACATATTATGTCAAAATATGAATAATAACGGTAAATGGCGTAAAACGACTTCTTGTAGTTTGTTATTAGTAATTATTATTACATAATACTTATATTAAACGTATAATTATTATTAATTACTATTACCTATTTATTTTTAAATAAGAAAGATATTTTTTCCATAACTGGCTATTCGTATATAATATATACTGGACTGTTTTATTTAGTCACTCATCATTAGAACTCCGTATTGGTTTGTTACCTCTAACATCAAATCTCCATACAATAACCATTAAGAAGCATTAACTATTAGAAATATTAACTATAAACTTGTCACCCAAATTTGCACAATCATTTAATAAAGATAAAAATATAAGGAAAGGATTTAGAAGCAGTAATAAATAGTTGAAATAGATTAGATGAAAAAATACAACTTTACTTATTCGGTAATAATTTATTTTTTCGGTAGACATGACATGATACAGAAATTGGCTTTTAGCATTACGTACTTACTGTACAAAAAATGTATTATGTGAAATATGTTATAGAAAAAATCCTAAGACAGTTGTTTTCCCGTCAGCTTAAATATATGTATAATATTTTTAAATTTCTGATTTTATAGTGATTATAGTGATAATAATAAGATAAACTATAATATATTATGTAAAGAACAGAATACGGATGCCAGTGTTTTTCTGACATTAGGTTAGTATGTGGGTTGAACTTGTGGATATCCATATTGTAATTGTGCCTCGAGTGATTCTCCTCGTTGTTCACCTGAGTGTATTTCAAACCACGTGCCTTCGATTTTCCTGTATCTCTTTTGGATATTTTTTGTATCCGTTGTGATACATGTACGGCTTCTTGAGTCAATATCAACTTGTTTTATGTATGATTCAGGAGATTGGGTACTAAAATATATTCCAAGCAATAGACACTTCGCTATTAAAGACTCAGTATCATCTACCCGCACAGATTCACCTAAAAAGTAAATTTTTTTTTTTAATTTGCTTTTATTAGTTTACTATAAAAAAAAACTAGTAAAACTAGTTTTTTTTATACTTTTGTTTGTGGTGTAGGATACAATTGTTAAAAATTAAATTTAGTTGTATCCAATTGTTCACATTAAATATCATAAAACATATATATATATATATATTAATAGCGATAAATACCATACAACTCCATAATAATATTTACCTAACATACGACGTCCGATTATACTTTTTAAAGACCAAGCAACTAATTTTCTTGTATCGTTTGCAAGTTGTTTCAGTGTATATTCATCTATGACAATAATTATAAAAGACTGTGTTGCAAAGAAATAATTAAGATAAATAGTATATTATTCGCTAATTGTGATACAACTAACTTTTTGTACAACCACATATTATTGTTGAACCTCGGCAAATGTACTCTTTCTATACTTCAAATCCCAAAGAATTTATTACCTGCACGTTAACACTGTAAACTCACTTTCTCTCCCCCTTCTCAACAAAAAGTTGAATTTATTACAATTTTTTTCTGCCTTATAAAGAAAAAATAAATTAAATTAAGCAACGATCAACTCTAAAACAAGCTTTTAAGGCTATTTATGAATATCAAACAAATCGTAATTACATGGATAACTACATCCTTCCATATCAACTCCTGTAACATACACATCAAACATATTTTGCAGTTAATAAGTCCCGGTTTATATATTTTATACATAGAATTCACTTTATAACTTAGGTTAATTAGATCAATAATAATTAATGCAAACAATTATTGTATAAATGTAAATTGATATCTTATAACAACTTTTAAATAAACGGTTTCAATTTTATTTCGAAAGATTAACATATATAGCTTTATGGCTTCATTTTTTCTTTTAGTTTTAATAAAACACTAAAAGAATATGTAACTATTTTTTTTTTAAATAAAAAAATTCATTCTTTTTTATGTTTACCTGCTATAGTATTTAAGTCTTGAAGCATTTTGTCAAAGTATAGATTGGCTTCTAAAATATAAAACTAAATACATTTTAATGTACCCACTTAAATTTTATTATTGAAACCGATATATCATATTGGTATTTGTGAATAGGTACATATTATTATTCTTAAAGTAATTATAAACAATAAACATGCTATAAGTATAATAAATATTATATAAAAAAAAAGGTTTTTACTTTGTTTTGATATATAAAATATAAAATATAAAAAGGGTTTTTACTGTAATAAAGATCTGGATGTTCTGAAATTAATACAAACATCTTGTGTGCATAAATGATATCAAACATCTGTTTGGAAATGCTTCCATAAAGTGCAATGGAAATTATTACCTGGCATAAAGAGAATTTCATCATGGTCTGAAATCAATAACACAAAAATTAATGTTATTGCATTTAATTTTCTATTCTATTATAAACAGGAAGACGAATTTCAAGGGAGAAAAAACATGTGTGCAATAATTTAGAAGAAGTATGCTCCACTTTATATTCAATACGATGAGAATCTCTTTGGAGAAATCAATATTGGAATTAATTTTATAAAATTTAACAAAATCTATTACCCGGTACAGCCAACAACAAACAAATTTTACCTGAAATTAACATTAAATAGATAAATGATATTGAATTGAATTTGCTATAGTAAATTTTTAGTTATTACATTATATATTTATAAATTATAAGACGAAAGTCAAAGTAGAAAAAACTATATTATATAAACTAGTTGATGCAGTTCAGGCGATGAGAATAAAATATATTAATCAGACGACGTTGGTAGGGCTAACATCAGTATTTTTTCATAGAACTTCTATTCAAATTTCGGTGAAAAATATAATAATTATAAAACTCATCAGTTGCATAAAGTGAAGTTTTTATATAATTTTCAAATATTTTTTTCTACTTATGTCTTGATATTTTTTATCATTATTATAACTATGATTACGGAAATCTTGGTGTATAAGTTCGGTATTGATTTCCTCAACTATTGTCTCAATTAGATGCTCCAATCTATCTAAAATAAGCAAATGAAGATTTTTGCTATACTAAAATATTGAAACTAAATCAAATTAGGTAAGACAAAGCTTCTATATATATTAGTATATTATTTGGAGTATAATATCTTACTTGCTCCAGATCTACCTCGTACTCTTAAATCATTCTTAAGATAAGCACGCCTGATGCCCATATCTGTGATACATATTTAAAAAAATATGTATATAAACAGTGAATTTTAAAAACTTACAAATCATTTTTTTTTAAATTGAAAATGTTACTGACTTGTGAGGTGAACTAATTTCACATAACGATCTGTAAAAAAGTGTAATATTTTTTTTGTTTTTAAATTGTAACTACCTTAATTTGATAACTGTAAAAATAAAATACCTACCATAATAATATGCCAAACTTTCCACCAAGAATAAAGAGAATAATAAACAGAAGAGTTTCATTTTTATCTGCGAATAATAATAAATAAAAACATTTTGTATAAGTCACAGTTACCTCTGGTTAAGAGATAAGAAAGTTATAGTTCTGCAGGGCCATTTTAATGTTTTAAATATATACATACGAGTATATACGTATAAACATTTTTCTACTTGACCTACAATATTACACACTAACTGATTTTTTGTATATAAGATAGAAGTCAAACTCGAAATGTTGATTATTTAGCCAAAATTAAACTAAGTTTACTATACCGAGGATTCCAAAATGGAAATTAGGTAAAAGTATTTAGCTAAATGTTGTTATTTAAGTTAGAGTTTGTATCCACTTAATTTCCAAGTGTCTAAACTTGACTACGCATAATGGTTCTTATTCAACCCATGAGGATTTAAAGCGAAACTATTAGAGAAATAATAGTGGAAAGAAGATAACGTTTTAGAAAATATGAAATCCGTTTTAAAAAAATATCTTTAGAAGTATAGTTATTACCGTTATAAAAAAAACCAGTACAGTGGGGTCAGGGCATAGTGGGGACGGGGGAGGTCACAGGTTTACAGGAATTTTTAAATCTGAAAGTGATAAAATCACTTTCCAAAAAACGCTTCGATGCAAATAGGTAGTTAGTATTTTCGAGAAAGTCCAAACCAAGCACAGTATAAACCAGCAAAGTTAGAAAGTATTAAATTGAGGTGCTGTATTTACAAAAAGCATCAAAGCGATAATTTGAAAGTGATTTTGTCCGAGAGAACTAGTACAGTAGAGTTTAGGCATATTGGAATCAAAGCATCGAGCGGACGGAGATTGCTTATTAGCTAAATATAACTAACGTTTATAGCCACTAGCGGTCAGCTGTTGTCTGTTACATTTACATATTTAACAATAACCTTTGATTGAGATTTAAAAAATTGTGTTTTTTTAATAATAGTATAGGAGCATTATCACAATGTTAAATGTTCACGAGATTTGATCTAGTCATAAAATAAAGTATTATCATTCATGACTTTTAATAACAATTAAAGATATATTCAAATTAAGATATATTTTTAAATATATCTTAATTTGAACATAGTAAAAAAATAATGAAATATTTTATACAAAATTAGAGCTACAAGTTGATAAACTGAAAAATTAAAATTAGCACGAAGCAGATTATCTAGTATTAGATAATTTCAACAATCAAGCGTGAATCTCTTTAAATGAATAACAGTACAACAATATGCAAAATATTAGTGTTCCTTTACACTAATTGTGTAACATAAAATATATTTTGGGGCGGTATACTGCATAAAAACCAACACTTAATCTGAATCTAAAAAACAACAGTCCTCTTCATTATTTGCAGTTAGTTGGACCTTATATATTCATAGTTGACCTTCGGTACGGTAATATAACGCGGACGATAAAATAACGAGATAACGACAGTGGTTGTGTCGTGTTGAACCATTAAGAGTCTTAATAAGAACAGGGATAGGTTTTTAAAATTGTCCAAATTAACAACTTTAAAACATGCAAAAAAAAATTTTCTCATAATTTTAACTTAATTTTTAAAGGGAATATTAAAGTTTTTTTTTTAACATTGCCATTTTCTTCACTTAAGACTAATTTTTTTTAACGATGAACAAAAAGACGAAATACACGGATGGTGAAAACTTATTTTTTGTATAATTTTTATATTAGATTTATAATGTGTATACAATTATCATACAAACAATAAATTATAAATGCTTTTTCGTAAGTCAATTAAGAAAAAAAATGTTTCTTACATTTTAGCATTCAAACTATTTTCAGCATTAAATATCGGCATTTATTTTCTAGACTGCAACTACGCTCTTATAAAAATAGAAATCATTATTTGCAAATTTCTGTAATCCGAGTTTTATGTTTTTTTGTGGTTTTGTAATCAATTTTTTTTTCATTTGGAACGTGACTACCTAATATTTTTCTTAAAAACTAATTAAAAGAATAAAAAATTGTTTTTAATTTTGAAATTTGATTTTTAACGATTAAAAAAAATGTTAAATAAAATTGTACACGTATATGAATTTAGTTCCCTACGCAGTTATTTTTTTTCATATTTGTACTGTTCAAACTTTTTGAGTTATGATTGAAAATCTAAATGATTTTGATGAATGTTTCTTCTTTGAGTTTTACGGATGAAATATTTTTTTTTTATTTCTATTAATCCTTGTTGTGCATGTATAAGAGATCTACTTTTGTGAGGTATTATGAAAACGATTTAAAAAACCGCCAATTTTCAATACACATCCGTAAGTACACATCAAGCCAAATAACGAAAAAAAAACAAAAACATTTATTGAATTGTCTCCAAAACGTGGATTGTGTAAAAGGATGATCAACAATGGATAATAAAATAACTAGAAAAAACAATTTTTTATCATAAAATCAGAGTCTTAAATAAAATATTTTGGTCAAATAACGGGAGTGGTCCGAGATTAATTTCTATTTTTTTTAATAATGAAAATTTTCCCGGGTGGTCACCTATTCTGAATCAAGCAGTAACGGACTCAGCTTAACCTCGGATGCCGCGTGGCACAACGCGTCTACACAATGCCCCAGTATTATTTTTAATGTTATTCGTAGGAACATTTTTAATTTTTACACCCAACATATTCAAAACATTTTTCCAAAACATGTTTTGTTTTTTTTTTTATTAAGAAAACTGAAATTAAAATTTTCTTTTCAGATTAAAAAAAAAAATAGTAATAAATCTTGGCCCACTCCCGTTATTAGACGAAGAGATTTGATTTAAGTTTCTGATTTTCTGATAAAAATTTCAGAAATATAAAACTGGCCGAAATCTTTTTTTTTTGGAAATAACTTAAAAAAACCTCTACTTTTGGGGCAAAAATTAGGGGTAAAAATTTCAATAAAATAAAAGTCTTTTTTAAGGCCAAAAGTAGTTTGAGGTGTTCTGGCCGATGACTGTGTGGTTTGACTCAGAAAGCCCCATAGTTAAACATTTTAGAGTTTTATAGAAATACTTACTTAAATTGTGGACTTGGTAAGAGGTTCTTGGACAACAAACGACTTGTTCAGCTATTGAAACGAAATGTACTGCTTGCGACTTATGGCTGTGCTTATACTTCAACTAGAAAATAAGAATTCTAATAGGCTTTTGTTGTGTAACTATGTTCATTTATGTACACAACAGGTTCAATTTTTTTTTTTTTTGTGATTTATCGTGTACATACCTTACTCGGAAAGCGGCGTTTAGACTATTTTATTCTACACACTACTTTTAAATAAAAAAATATATTATCGTCGAAATAGTATTTTTTTTTTAAATTTTACTATGGTTTCACAAAAACTGTTTCAACGATTACAAATATTGAAATTTGAAACAACCCTAACGGTATTGAAATACTAAAATTCGAATAACGTAAATTACATTAAGATGTATTATAATTAATTAGAATTGACTAATCCTTTTTCTGCAATAATATTTAACAAAGTGCCTTATGCCTATTATGTTTAATCTAGAACAAAGGCCAGACCTTTGAGCTGTTAAACGATCTCGAATTAATTCATTTGACGGCTTTCGGTTTAGTTTATGTTTAGGATCACAAAACTGTGTTAAGTTAGAATTTTAATCAACCTCAACAAGTTTACTACTGTAGCTACCTAACCTACCTTGATTGTAAATAATAATCTACATTTGCTATTTACAACATTATATTTGTCTACAAATCGTGAATAACAACACTATGTCCATATTCTACGAGCTCTGACCCCATATTGCTTCTTTATTTTTTAAAGCCTTAGTCATCAGAATATTATACATATCTGGGTTTTTTATATACCTACTCTTAAATGTGTATATAGTTTACATATAGTTTATATAGGTAAATTCGTACACGGGTAACCTTCATATATTTGTAGTTTAAAATGAAAACACGTTATTATTTGAACAATGCACGTGTGAAATATTGGTCTGCTCGTGTATTACAACTTAGATTGTACTTAGGCTGAGAGGCATCTGTCCCTCGGAATTTGCCTTGTATGTGTATGTAGAAGCTAGCCTGATAAATCGGAAAACACAACTTAATAAATCATTGTAGTGATACAACAGCCACTATATATTTAGATAACATGTGATTTGGTCCAACACTGCTAAGAGGGCATTAGCCATCCCTAGAATTTTTCTTATTCGCCCTCTCTTGAAAATACATGTATTTTCTACGTTCATTATGTTGAGGTGGTATCTGCCTATTACAGGCGTTCGGCTTTCCTGATTGCGGCACGCCGTACATTTTTGAAAAATGAACACAATATATAGTATAGTTCTAACAAAATATCATTAACCCTTCCTAATCAATTTCCAAGCATTTATTTCGCCTTTTGCGGTGTGGATCAGATTTTGCCCTAAGACTTAAAAATAATTAACCTGAGAAATTAACGTGTAAAGCATTATTATTGTGGAAAGTATTGTTAAGTATAGTTGATCGCGTAAGATACCTACGTCGTATTTTGTTATTCGCTTTTTTGTCAAGCAGAGCTAGTGAAAACATCTGGCCATTATGTACACTGCACATTATAGCTGAGTCTCGATAGCAAAAACAACGGCTAACCAAACACAGAACCAACATTTACAGTAAATATTAAATTAAATTTTCTTTTTTAAATTTTGATAAATTTCTCAGGGATCTCTTAGAGTTTTTAAACGGCCTGGAGTTTCGTAGAACTCCCCTCTCCCTTCCATTTTATGGGAGCTGATAGGTAGTTTTTTAGAAATATTTTAAAGGGGCACCGGAAAGGTAAAAAAACAATTTTTATTATTCGAGAAAAAAACACGTATATATTCTTATGGAACCGTTTGTCTTTATATTATCACAACGAATCGACAACAGCACAACAACAGTATGCGGTTTGGTTTTTTACCTGCAAAAAAAAATCAAACGGCGACTAACGCCTAAGAAAACAATTATCGCCCTTTCCGACATGTGAAATTTAAGTTTCATAAATATTTCTAGACTCGTTGAACAAAACAACCGAAAGTACTTCAACAATATTGCTCACAATTTACTAAATTTTTCTAAAAAATATACAAATATTTTATGCATACTCCAATAACAGAGTGGCACTTGCTATGACAATTTGTGCTTAAAACTATATTTTTAGTATAAGGGTGGACGCGAGATTAGGGTTAGTCGTCTGTCTGTAATGAATTGTAGTCGTTGATACATATATGTATATACATATTGGGGTGGTCCTTAAAAAGTCGATGTTCGAATTTTAACCTTGACCCCTAAAAAGATTCTAAATACAATAAAAATAACATCCAAAAAATTTGTTTTAAAAATTTTAATTTTAACCAGTGCCACAAAAGAGTTGAAGTTTAAATGGGATTTAACATAGGTTCTCGACACTTGTGCACAAACCAATGCACCTAATAACTTTTTTCTTATTCCTTAGTTTGAGCTGAAGTTTTGATGGTTTTAAATATAAGTTATGATGAATTATCTATTAGAAATATAAACATTGAACTTGTCACCCAAATTTGCACAATCATTTAATAAAGGTAAATATATAAGGAAAGGATTTAGAAGCAGTAATAAATAGTTGAAACAGATTAGATGAAAAAATACATTTTCACTTATTCGGTAATTATTTATTTTTTTGGTAGACATGACATGATACAGAAATAGACGTATAGCATTACGTAATTACTGTAAAAAGAAAATGTAATATGTGAAATATGTTATTGAAAAAATTCCAAGACGGTTGTTTTCCCGTCAGCTTAAATATATGTATAATATTTTTAAATTTTTGATTTTATAGTGTATAAAGTGATAATAATAAGATAAACTTTAATATATTATGTAAAGAACAGAATACGGATGCCAGTGTTTTTCTGACATTAGGTTAGTATGTGGGGTCGAACTTGTGGATTGCCACGTTGTAATTGTGCCTCGAGTGTTTCTCTTCGTTGGTCATCTGAATCAATTTCAAACCACGTGCCTTCGATTTTCCTGTATCCCTTTTGGATATCATTTATGTCCGTTGTGATACATGTACGGCTAGATGAGTCGATATCAACTTGTTTTATGTATGATTGAGGAGATTGGGTACTAAAGTATATTCCTAGCAAACGACAGTTCGCTATTAAGGTCTCAATATCATCTACCCGCACAGATTCACCTAAAAAGTTTTGAACAAATTTTAATTTGCTAATATTAGCTTACTAGTTTACTAATTTTGTTTATGGTATGGGATACAACTATCTGATTTGTCAATACGAAGTCATAAGAAAATAATACAACAAGCATGGTGCCGTATTGAACAGCCATGGTATTTGTATTACATGAAAGTACGAGTAAGTATTTATAAATTATTTAGTTAATTGTTAAAAATTTAATTCAGTTATATCCAATTGTTCACATTAAATTATGAAATATACATATATATATATATATATATATATATATATATATATATATATATATATATTAATAGCGTTAAATACTATGCAACTCCATAATAATATTTACCCAACATACGACGTCCGATTATACTTTTTAAATACCAAGCAACAAATTCTCTTCTCGTGTTTACAAGTTGTTCCAATGTCCGTGCATCTATGAAAATAATTATAAAAGAATGTGTTGCCAAGAAATAATTATGATAAATAATATATTATTCGCTAATTGTGATACAACTAACTTTTCGTACAACCACATATTATTGTCGAACCTCAGCAAATGTACTATTTCTATACTTCAAATCCCAAAGAATTTATTACCTACACACTAACACTGTAGTCTCACTTTCTCTCCCTCTCTCCTCAACAAAAAGTTGAATTTATTATAATTGTTTTCCGACATAAAAAATAAAATAAATAAAATTAAGCAATGATCAACTATAAAATAAGCTTTTAAGTCGATTTATGAATACCAAACAAATCATAATTACAAGTATAACGGCCTCCTTCCATATCAACTGCTGTAACAAACACATCAAACATCAAATTATTTTGCAGTTTACAAGTCGTGGTTTATATATTTTAAACATAAAATTCACGCTATAATTGATCTAATTAACCAATGGTTAATTAGATCAATATTAATTAATGAAAAATATTATTGTTTAAATGAAAACTTATATCTTATAACGATTTTTAAATAAACGGTTTAAATTTTTTTCGAATATTCTTAAAAGTTTAAACATAAAACATATATAGCTCTTTGACATCAATTTTTCTATTAGTTTTTTTATTGAAACTAAAAGAATATGTAACTATTTTTTTTTTTAAATTTAAAAATACATTATTTTTTATACTTACCTACTACACTACTTAAGTCTTTAAGCATTTTGTCGAAGAATAGATTGGCTTCTAAAATTAAAAACAAAATACATTTTAATGTACCCACATATATTTTATTATTGAAACCGATATATCATAATGGTATTTGTCAATAGGTACATATTATTATTCTTAAAGTAATTATAAACAATAAATATGCTAGAAGTATAATAAATATTATTTATAAAAAAAGGTTTTTACTTTGCTTTGATTGACCTGGAGGTTCTGAAATGAATACAAAAATCTTGAGTGCATATATGATATCAAACAACTGTTTGGAAACGATTTCATAAAGAGCAATGAAAATTATTACCTGGTATTCTCAAGAGAATTTCCATATGGTCTGAAATTAACACAAAAATTAATGTTATTGTATTTAATTTTCTATTCTATTATAAGCAGAAAGATGAATTTCAAGGAAGAAAAAACATGTGTGCTAAAAATTTGGAAGAAGTATGCTCCACTGTATATTCAATACGACGAGTCTCTTTAGAGAATTCAATAGGAATGTAATATTGGAAATAATTTTATATAATTTAACAAAATCTATTACCCGGTACAGCCAACAAAAAACAAATTTTGCCTGAAATTAACATTAAATAAATAAATAATACTGAATGGAATTTGCTATAATAAATTATTAGTTATTACAATATATATTTATAAATTATAAGACGAATGTCAAAGTAGAAAAAACTATATTATATAGACTAGTTGATGCAGTTTAGGCGATAAGAATAAAATATAGTAATCAGACGAGGTTGATAGAGCTAACATAAAGCTTCTTTTCAAATTTCGGTGAAAAACATAATAATTATAAAACTCATCAGTTGCATAAAGTGAAGTTTTTATATAATTTTCAAATATTTTTTTCTACTATTGTCTTGATGTTTTTTATTATTATTATAACTATGATTACAGAAATTTTGGTAGTTAAGTTCATCATTGATATCCTCAACCATTGTCTCAATTAGATGCTCCAATCTATCTAAAATAAACAAATAAAGATTTTTGCTATACTAAAATATTAAAACTAAATCAAATTAGGTAAGACAAAGCTTCTATATATATTAGTATATTATTTGGAGTATAATATCTTACTTGCTCCAGATCTACCTCGTACATTTAAATCATTCCTACGAGAAGCACGTATAATGCCCATATCTGTGATACATAATTTAAAAAACATGTATAAAAACGGTGAATTATAAAAACTTAAAAAACATTTTTTTTTAAATTGAAAATGTTACTGACTTGTAAGGTGAATAAAACCCATATAATTATCTGTAAAAAAGTGTAATATTGTTTTTTTTCTTCAAATTTTAACTATGTTAAGTTAATAACTGTGAAAATAAAATAACTACCATAAACTGCCAAAACTTCCACGAGGAATAATGATAATAATGAACAGAAGAGTTTCATTTTTATCTGCGAATAATAATAAATAAAAAACATTTTATATTAGTCTTAGTTACCTCCGGTTCAGAGACGAGAATGTTATAGTTCTGAGAGGCCGTTTTAATATTTTAAATATTATATATATATATATATATATATTATTTTAACATTTTTCTACTTGACCCACGAAATTTCCTAGACCACTAACTGATTTGTTTGTATATTTAATAGAAATTAAACTCGAAAGGTTGACTATTTGGCCAAAATTACAGTAATTTTACTATTCCGAGGATTGCTCAAAAATAAAAATAAGCCTGTTGACTATTTAAATAGCATAGTAAAAACTTAGGTTACTCTGTTCAAGATAGAAATTAGGTAAAAATATTCAGCTAAGTGTTGTGTGATATTTATTTATGCGTTCATTTCAGCCATGCCTTCGGGGTTGTTAATATGGGTCGCCGCTAAGAATCCAGGGTGTGGTCACCCATCCGGGATGAAGTAGCAACGGACACAGCTTAACCTCAAGTGCCCCGCGGCTTCCGAGGTGTCCACTGCGCCACACCTCTGTTGTTATTAGAGTCAGATTTACATCCACTTAATTTCCAAGCGTCTAAACTTGACTACGCATAATGGTTATTATTCAACCCATGAGGATTTAAAGCGAAACTATTAGAGAGTTAACAGTGGAAAGAAGATAACGTTTTAGAAAATATCAAATTCGTTTTAAAAAAATAGTTATTACCGTTATAAAAAATATTAACATATATTTTCAAACAATACACTACTGAATACTGGAATTGATGAAATTGTATAAATGGTTTTCTTAATAGCTCACAGAAGTAGCGTCTTAATAATGAAGTAAAAAAAGGAATATTCAGCAAAATGATTTAGCTTTTATATGTATTAAATTGATTTTAGCGTTTTGTTTTAAAATCGTCCAAATTAACGACTTAAAATCATGCAAAAAAAATTTTCCTTTAATTTTAACCTAATTTTTAAAAGGAATATTAAAGTTTCTTTTTTGTACATTGACTTTTTATTCACTTAAGACTAATTTTTTTTAACGATGAACAAAAAAAACAAAATGCACGGATGGTGAAAACCTATTTTTTGTATAATATTTATATAAGATTTATAATGTGTGTACAATTATCTAACAAACAATAAATTATAAATGCTTTTTTGTAAGTCAAATAAGAAAATAGATTTTTCCTTCATTTTAGCATTAAAATGTTTAAGCATGTATAATGGTTTTTTATATTAAATATCGGCATTTATTTTCTAGACCGCAGCTACGCTCTTATAAATATAGAAATCATTATTTGCAAATTTCTGTAATCCTATTTTTATATTATTTGTGGTTTAATAATCAATTTTTTTTCATTTGGATCATGACTAATATTTTTCTTAAAAATTCTTTAAAAGAAAAAAAAATTGTTTTTAATTTTGAAATTTTATTTTTAACAATTAAAAAAAATTAAATTTTACACTTATATGAATTTAGTTCCCTACAAAGTTATTTTTTTCATCTCTATACTGTTCAAACTTTTTGAGTTTCGATTGAAACTCTAAATCATTTTGATGAATGTTTCTTCTTTGAGTTGGTACGGACGAAATATTTTTTTTAATTTCTATTAATCTTGGTGTATGTATAAGAGATCTACTTTTGTGATTTATTATGAAAACGATTTTAAAAACCGTCCATTTTCAATACACATCCGTAAGTACACTTCAAGTCAAATATTGAAAAAAACCAAAAACAATTATAGAATTGTCTCCAAAATGTGGATTGTGTAAAACGATGATCAACAATGGATAATAAAATAACTAGAAATAAAACAATTTTATCATAAAATTAGAGTCTTAAATAAAATATTTTTGTCATAATAAATCTTGGCCCACTCCCGTTAGTAGACGAAAATATTTGATTTAAGTCTCTGATATTATTATAAAAAATTTTAGATATATAAAAATAGTCAAAATCTATTTTTTTTGAAAAATGACTTAAAAAACCTCTATTTATGAAACAAAAATTAGTGGCAAAAATTTCAAAAAAGTAAAAATCTTATATAAGACCAAACGTAGTTTAAAAAAAAATTTCAAAAAAATTTTAGTAGTTCATGCCGATGACCGGGTGGTTTGACTCAGAAAGCCCCATAGTTAAACATTTTAGTGTTTAATGAGAATACTTACTTAAAAATTGTAGTCTTGGTAAGAGGTTCTTGGACAACAAACAGGTTGTTCAGATATTAAAACTAAATGTACTGCTTGCGACTTATGGCTGGGCTTATATTTCGACCAGAAAATCAGAATTATAATAGGCTTTTATTTACACGGCTGGTTCAATTTTTTTTTTGTGATTTATCGTGACATACCTTACTCGGAAAGCGGCGTTTAGACTATTTTATTCTACACACTACTCTTAAATAAAAAAAATATATTATTCGTCGGAATAGTATTTTTTTTTTAAATTTTACTATGGTTTCACAAAAACTGTTTCAACGGTTACAAATATTGAAATTTGAAACAACCCTAACGGTATTGAAATACTAAAATTCGAATAACGTAAATTATATTATGATGTATTATAATTAATTAGAATTGACTAATCCTTTTTCTGCAATAATTTAAAACAAAGTGCCTTATGCTAATTATGTTTAATCTAGAACAAAGACCAGACCTTTGAGTTGTTAAACGATCTCGAATTAATTGATTTGACGGCTTTCGGTTTAGTTTATGGTTAGGATCACAAAATTGTGTAAAGTAAGAGTTTTAAACAACCTCAGAAAGTTTACTACTATACTACCTAACCTACTTTGATTGTAAATAATAATCAACATTTATTATTTACAACATTATATTTGTCTACAAATTGTGAATAACAACAATATGTCCATATTCTACGAGCCCTGACCCCACATTGCTTTTTTATTTTTTAGTTTAAAATTGTTCAGACCTAAACGTCAAAACAGTTCACGAAATAGCCATAAGTTTGCATTATAATGTGCATGAGTGCATTTTTAGGTAAAACCTGTGTACAATAAGTTAACAAATGCAAACGTTTTTCAGCCGAGTCTGCAACCACGAAAGAGCATTTTCATGTCTTTTTGAAGTACCGAAAAAATGTAGAGTAGTGGTGGAATTATAGATAATGATATAGTATATTAAGAAGCAGTAACAAGCTAGGATATTAAAACATCAAGTTTCTGGCTAATATTGACATGTTTAATATCTGGCTTTAAACAATTCATAAATAATTTGGGCCCTTAAACTATTTTGAATTTATCGGAGGGGTATAAAGAAAATACACACTTATCGATAATAATATCCCAAATGAATCATTTCTTACGAGCAATAGATTAGTTAAGTATCATGCTAATCAGTTCATTACGTTGGAAAGTATAATCATGTCGGTTGTGTTTTTAGCGGGTTGGTTTCCCTAGTATTATGTAGAAAATATTATTGGAACACTGCCTACTTATAACTTATTTATTTTAATAGTTTCTCGTTCGTTTCATTGTACAAACAAAACCCCAAGGTTGTATTTGATGTAAATAATGAAAAACGTGTGCGAAGATACGCACTTGTGCCAAAATACGTCTCTTTTACATTAATCTTTGTATAGGCAAACTTTTATACTTAAACTACTCGCCGTAAGATTAAGATATACAATAAGTTAATTTTTTAATTTTTTTTTTCTCTATTTTCAATAAGAAGGGATGCACTTTTTAGAACGATATCGATTTGCTTAAATTACAAAGTATCAAACCGCGTATTGAAATATTTAACTTGTAAAATACTGTTTTTTTGGTGTATTTGACTGTCTAAGATTACCCGTCGCCTGTAAAACAGTTGTTCACATAATAAAAACGTGTACTGCCATGCCCCGACCCCACTGTGCTGGCTTTTTATACTTAATATTCTTGCACATAGAAAAAAAATTAATCTGAACAACTCATACCCGACTTTGTCATTGAAAATGTTCATGCCTTTATCGATGAAAATAATTTAATGTAAAAAAAAATGATTTACCTTAAAACTTTACCGATCCGGTTTAACGGTAATATTCTTTTCTTAACGTGCATATATTCAAAATGTAGATACTTCCTATTAATTAAGATAATATGGTATTAAGTCAAAACTTAATCATGAGAATCGAATTATTTTGTTCTCTGCACGATATGATATTGCTTAAAATTAGGCATTTGATTTTTTTTTTGTTATCTATTACATATTTTATTTCCTGACCTAAATCCCTAAAGCTACTTGTAAAAGTGAAAAAAAGAAAAAAATTCTATCCCTTTAATGGAAACGGTTTAAATTCCTCACAAATTTGGAATTAATTGTACTATTTCTTAGAATAATGCCAAAATCTTAGTAAATTATTTAGTCGTTATTAAAATATGAAAAACAATACAATACTTATTATAAGTCTTAATTGGACGCTGCCATTCGATGAAATAATAAAAAACTATACCTACTAATAACTGTCCTATATCTACACTGTATTTTCCCCTTAGCATTTTAATTGAATTTAAAAAAAAATATTTCTTATGACGTACATTGTCGGTTTTGTTTTATGTTTTAGTTAAATAAGTTTCTATTAAAGTAAATAAAAACAGGAACAAGTCAATTTGAAACAGTTAAAAAAAATGAAGCTATTAGAGGTATCAACAAAACCGACGTTTAAATAAAACCTTTCAAACGTGGATATTTGTATGTAAAAAAACAATAATCCAATTTATCTAATAAAACAATTAAAATAAAACAAAAAAGTCGTTACAACGTATTACGGCTATAATAGAAATCGATTAAAAAAAATGTCAAAAGGCTACGGCTCCTTTCATTCATTTTATAAACTTCAAAGCACAATCAAATTCTATTTTACCAAAAATAAAAAAAACATGTATATCTAAATTTATATGTATATTATATGCATATTATACCGGTTGCTGTAAGAAATTCCATAATCACCCCTCCCTAAATCCTCTTACAAAAGGGGGAAAAATTACAATGACCTTAAAATAAAATTGTATAATAAAAAACTGGTACTTGAGTATCAAAACTCAATATTATTATTCTGAATAGATGTCAATAAAAATGTTTTATTGATTTGATATGTTTTTTTTTTCAAGATTTAAGGTGTTTATGTTAAAATATACAAAATCTGCAAAAATCGCAGTTTTCCACTAATTAAAGAAAAACTGTAGGTCTGAATTTTTTTTCGTTTGTTATGGATACATATAAGTTCTAACTCCTGACAAATTTTCCACTTGAAGCTCCTAAAATTACAGCTAAAACCTAAAAAAACTTGAACCACCTCTAGGAAGGTGGGAAATGGGTATACATATTTTAAATTTGAAACTATTTACGTATAGGGGCATGCAAAATAAATATTCCTTATACATTTCCACTCGATCTGACTCTTTTTCTCGAAATTATAGCCAGAAAAAGTTCAACCTTTCTTAGCGCCGCATCAAAGCTAAAAACCAAAAATGATTCACATAAATTGTTATTTTTTTAGTAAATCGCCAATAAGTCGGGTTGGCCATGTATTTCTCGAGACCTTGAATTTGTTATCATCTTTTGAACGTGTAAAAAACGATTCGTATATTTTCATTTATGTAAACAGTGTAAATGGAAACCCACGTAGCAACAACCAAGTGTTTTTCTAAAGTAAAAAAAATGTGTTTTCACGTTAACGGTTAGGCCAAGATTCGATAAAGAATACTTTAAAATGTCACATGCCAACTCTCTAATAATTAAAAAAATGTATACACCTATGTCATGGTCTTGTCATTAACGACTTATTGGTTCGTATTGGCCTAAAATGAGACCCCTAATTCGTTGAAAATTTTCCACCATCTTTTATGGTCACTGTCATTTTAAATATTTTGCAATTGAGCGAAACACGAAGCAATGGGTATTTTTAAGATTGATAAAACTTTTTTTATTGGACACTCAGACCAAATGTTTTCATAATAGTTTAAAGATGGAATAAGTACGGTTAAATTTTCAAAAAACAATAAAAATTGATATTAAAAATGGTTACACGTTGTAAAATAAGATAAAGAAAAACAAAATTGGATTTGGTAAAATTTGATTTTCCATTTGATTTTGGAGCAAAACGAACGATGCCGCAAGAAGTTGATTTTTTGAAAATATAAAAACGACTTTTAAAAAATACTAGTTGTGCGCATCCCGTTTCAAACGATGATAAAAACACAGTTTTTAGTTAGTATGTAAAAAAAATGTTTAAAGAATTTTCCATAACACTATACAATTTTAGTGACGTATATCTTTAACTTACTATTTAAACTAAGAACAATTTTTTGAATAGTATCGGGTCGATATCACGATTTGGATAATTACTTTTGGAGTTATTAAACTTAAAAGTTTAGGGTGGAAGGGTGGAGTGAATTATGTTTTTTTTGCTGGTACTAAGCTTCTGTAAATCTAAACTGTGCAAAAAAAAATGTAAATGTCTAGTAGTTGTATAATATTGTAAATTAACACCATATTAAGTGTCTCCAATTATAAAAATTACTAATTTGCTTTTATTTTAAGAGAGAATATGAGTGTCTAGTCCTTAATGAATCTATCAATTTTTTAGTATATTTTAATTTATCCAAAATAGTAGAATAACATGTTTTTGTATCATTGCATATACTCAAAGGTACACGTGTATTAGTATTGGGTGTTTGCTTTACAACGATTTATTATTTTGTTTTCTTTATCGATGCGCAAAAAGTAGTGAAAGGAAACGAATATAGCCAAATAACGACTGAAAAGGCATAATACTTTTCCTAGGGTTTAAAGAATTCCTTGAAGGTCGACTTTTTAAAGAATATTTTGCCGAAAATTTTGACCGATTTCTAACAGTGGATAATTTGATTCTTTTTCGATACTAATTACTTAGAGTAACAATAACTATTTTGCAAAACAGTGTAACGATTTTAAACAATCGGTGGTATTTGTTGATGGCTGATATTACACTATACTTAAGAAAAATGTCTTTTATTTTTGCGATACAGCTGCGATGGCTGACTAAACACATAAAAAAAACTAAACGTCTTGGTTTAAAATATATTAACGGGCAAATTGTAAAATTTGGTATCTACATTTTTTTTTTATGTAACAATAAATCATTTGAAAATTATCTTTATCGTAATTAAATAGATGTTGAAAAAGGGAAAAGAATCAAGTAAAAAATTCCAAATTGTTGGAAGAACATAAAAAAAAAACTATTTTCAAAATAGCCATTAGCGGTTCCATTTTG